AAACCACCGGTGGCCGGACGGCGGCGGCAGGATGCTTCCGCATCCCATCTTTTTTTCGTTTGGCATATTCTGATCTTCTCGTCCTGCGGGTTGTGGCTATGTTTATCTTTCTTAGCTTTTACTTATTTTTGCTCCTTTTGCGAGATATATTTGGATACCAGACCTTGTTTTTTGCTGCAACTGCTTTAATAATATGGTCACATGCATCTTTTGGATGCACACGCTGGGGGATATCCCCCTTTTCAAAAAAAAATATTTATATTCACATCCTCTCGTCCCTCTACCGCTCCCTTGTCATGGGAACCATATGTCCCATCCTACAGAAACCGGGAGCACGCATATTTCTTCACGGCAGGTGAGACTGGTTGTGCGGGTCACTTGCTACCATGGCTAGAGGCGCGTCCCTTATTGTGGTGGTGACTCACTATGTGGGTGGACTCCGGCAAGATCCGATCGGATTTGGCGTCGGTCTTTCTACTGGATGAGGACTGTTGCTGCGAGGTGCTGGCTTTCCGCGTGTGCGGTGGCTGGCTGGCGGCGCTAAGATCCATGGGTTGGTGGTGGTGATCCAGATCTGACCTGCCAGATGGTGTTGCTGCAAACTATACTGCAACTACTTCCTAGGGCTCCACGACGGCAGTGGTCATTGAATGGTCCCTGGGAGGGGTCATCTCTCCTGATCCAGTGGTTAACTTCAGTGATGAGATACAAATTATGGACGACGGCTTGACGCAAAGGGATGGGTGTGCAGTGACAGCGGTTGCATCACATGTTGCTGCTAGAATCACGGAAAAGTGGTGATGACAACACATGAGCGACTTCGATGGTGTTGCTACTCGAGCACCCGGTCTCGACCTCAGGGGCAAAAGCCTAGGTCAGAACCAACAGTTTATACCTGGAAAAGGCGATGTTTTTCTTACATTCTTACCTTGTCGAATGCATTGCTCGAATATGCTTGGACTGATTCTTCAGGATGAAAACCTACATTTTGGCCTTGTGGTTGGATCTAGTGATGGTGGTACTTGAGTGTCGCTCCCTTCCTAAAGGCATTGCTATCGAAGACCTCATCGTCAGTGTGGTTTCATGAGATGGTTGGTGTGGATATGGTCATTATTGTAGTTTGCCAATCACAAATCTGATTGTTTTGCGGCATTTTTTTCTTGCCAACGAATATCATTGGTCTTATGTGACTTTGCTAGTTGTCAGCGTGTTTTCGCATGTGTGTGAGTTGGTGTTGGCTATATCATCCTAACTATGCAGAGGCTGGGTGTGTGCTCATTATAAAAAAAACATGCAATATTGTTCCCTCCCCGGGTCCACCCGGGCGGCGGCTCAATCCCTCTTAGACCGCTCCCCCTCCCCTTGCTATTGCCAATGGGCTCTGCCTAGTGAAGCCCGCGCCGATCCGGAGGTGGCGTGGCCTACTCTTCTCGTCGGCTCGCGGCCGCTCGCACGTAGGGGAGTTTGCTGAAGGATCTCGAATGGGGTGCTTCGTGTTGGCTGCGGGACGGAGGTGCTTCTGAGGTGCGGCGACCTACTGATGTCTGATGGCCTGTTGTGATGCGACAACATGTAGTGGTGACAGGTCTCATGTCAGCCTGGTCTAGGTGTCTGCTGCTCTTGTGCGCGGTGGTGGCTCATGGCGGGTTAGGTGCGGCGGTCGGTGCATGTGAGCCTATGTGGCCCACGACACGAGGCGGCTACTTACCAGCGGCTCTGGCTTGTGTTTTTTTTATCATAGTGGGCAATTTGTGGCTAGGGGGCCATTTTGGGCCCGCGTTCTCCTCGACGGCAAGGACTGCATTTGCCAGGCATCCTGGTTGTAGTGTTGGGTTGGTGCTGGCATCGACACAGGTAGCCTACCATGGTGATACAGGTGGTCGTGGTGTCCTTCTGATCCAACTGGACTGGTTCGTTGTTGTTGGATCGAGTGGAGTCGCGGCTTGGCCTCACATGTTCGTTGTAGCTTGGCTCCTTCCTTGGGGTCTGTGGAGGTGGAGAGGTGTAAGGCTCTGGGCGAAAGTTTGATTCTTCGGCGATGATGACGCTTGAGGATGCCATTCTACTCCTTGGAGGCATTGTCAAAAAGTTAGTACTTCATCATGTTTGGTCGGAGTAGGGAGGGGCGATGTTGGTTGTTAGCTAGGCCAGACTATTCCGAGGGTTTGGTAGAGCGGTTGTGTCTAGGTCTAGGCAAAAGCTTGTGTTCGGCGGGAGTCGATGCTGGCGATGGTTGCGTGGGTGGGCACCGCTTTCCTTCTTGAAGGCAATTTCGTAGATCTTGCTCACAGTCGCTCCAAGAAAAGGTCACGTTAGGTGGAGGCAGTCTGTTTAGGTTGTGGTCAATGATTGTTTTTTCCCTATTTCTATTTATTATTACTATTATTATTATTGGCATAGTTTTCCTTACAAAATAGGTCATTCTATATTTTGCTTTTCTCTCTTAATAAAATCGATAGACCACCTACCTTGCAAGTCAAGAAAAATAGAATGAAAACCAGCAAAAGTTCACCAAACTAATACTCCCTCCGTTACTAAATATATGTATTTTTAGATATTTTAATATAGACTACATACGGATGTATATGGACGTATTTTAGAGTGTAGATTCATCCATTTTGTTCCGTAAGTAGTTCATATTGAAATATCTAAAAGGACTTATATGTAGGAACGGAAGGAGTATATAACTGAGACCACGTGGCAGGACCGCAGGAGTGGTGAGCAATCTTCGAATCATTCAAGTTAGCTAGGCCAGACTATTCCCAGGGTTTCGTAGAGAGGTTGTGTCCGGGTCTAGGCAAAAGCTTGTGTTCAGCGGGGGTCGATGCTGGTGATGGTTGGCGTGGGTGGGCACCGCTTTCCTTCTTGAAGGTGATTTCGTAGATCTTGCTCACAGTCACTCCAGGAAAAGGTCACCTTAGGTGGAGGCAGTCTGTTTAGGTTGCGGTCAGTGATTGTTTTTCCTTTTCTTATTTATTATTATTATTGGCATAGCATTCCTTACAAAGTAGGCCATTCTATATTTTGCTTTTCTCTCTTGATAAAATCGATAGACCACCTACCTTGCAAGTCAAGAGAAATAGAATGAAAACCAGCAAAAGTTCACCAAACTAATATATAATTGAGACCACGCGGCAGGCTCGGTGAGCAATCTTTGAATCATTCAAGTTCAAACGAAATAATTGAGGATTCAAAATATACTAGGATTTCTCATGATTAAACCGGACGAAGGCGTTAACCTGCCAATTTGATCATGGCTGCTATATCATGCATGCACAATCGATGACCTGGAGTGGATCGTATATGTATCTGGATGGCCATTCATCGGCAGGCATAAATCTTCTCAGATTGATCCCATATTTTGTCACCGACTTTGGTCCACAAATCAATATCTCACCAGCAGAGGAGTCCTTTTCACGATCTACTTATCCTGTATGTGTGGACTGCATGAAAAGAAGCAAAATAAAAAACAGGGCAACCAACAATTCGTTCATTCTGGGGGCCGCTGGTGCCGGCAAAAAGCACAAGATGCACCAGGAGAGTCTCGAGCCATGGCCATGGAATGCCGGAATCCGCCGCCTTTTTCTCCTTTGTGTAAAGCGGAGTCAGACGGTCCACACAATCCTGAGCTCGCCGGAGTAGCGCGCGTGGGCGTCCTAACCAGCACCACACCCTGCAGGCCACCACAAAGATCCATGCATCTCCGGCCACCACACACATGATTCATCTTCTTCTGCCCTGAAGTAGAAGCAAGTGATATGCTACAAAAAGAAAGAAAAGTGAAGTATTCTTTGTTTTGGTGGGTATATGTATAGATGCGGGCCAGCAAGTTCATGTGAACTAGCAAGGTAGAGAATATTTTTGTCATGTGATGGCGTGATGCAGACTGCCACACACAGAGCATAATCCCTTACA